GAAAAAGAGTGTGCAATAATTCAATGCATGTGGATGTCTATGTGATGTATATATCTCTATAATGCACACTGGTGTCATGGGACGTTCGAAGCTGCAACTTGGGCAATGAAATTTCTTATGTTTCTGTAATCTTAATTATTTTCGAACAACGTGGGAAGATTCTCTCACGACCATCATATTTCATGCATTTTTTTTCTTATGACGCTATTCGAAATAAAACATTCTCCCGACTAATGAAAGACATGTGAGAACTCGGTAAAAAAAAATCATATATTAAAGACATAACAATGTCTATAACATTTTTGTGTTATCTTAAATTTCCTTTACAATATTTTATTTATATAGAAATCCATAGAACTCACCATTTCTTTTGTGTGAATATCATGTGTAATAAGTTAATAACAGTTTTCTTAAACAGTTTTGTTCTGCCTAACTAATAACTAGTATTATATATTAACCATCTTTGAGATGAAAATAGTTAAATTGGGCACTAAGTGAGACACATTCTCTGCCCATGTTTCACTGTCCCACTAATCCCTAATGAGGACAAAGCTTTACAAGTCACTCAGTGTCTTATGATTAGCTGTTTTAAAACCCCCCAAAGGTCCCACGATTTCTTCATCTTTATTTTAACCTTCTTTTTGAGGTTACACAGATAAGGAATCATATTAAATTTTATAAACTCAGAGGATATGGTTAGAAATTAGTGCCTCAAGAATTTTAGGTATAGTAAAACAGACAACATATTGGGATCATATTGCCTTATTGAGAATTGCCCTAAATTTTTACTAACTGTAACACACATAGATGAAAACATCAACGGAAATTTGTATCATTTCTTATGTTGACATACATTTATAGAAACTGCATATGCATTATTACAGATATACACATATACACATCAAAAGAATTTGTATATTATTCCACCAATCGGAAAAAGAAACACAATCATGATGAAATAATTGAGAGAGAGAGATTAAAATAAGATTTTGACTAATCATTGTTTTCCAGCTTTTGGTTTCCAGTCTCCTGTTATCAACTTCGTTTGGGGGACCTTCAATCTCAGTTGCACCATTTGGTTTGAAAATGCCATAAAATTTACCCAAAAAGTAAAGAAACAGTAAGAGAAAATGGCGATTCCTCACCGT